ACTGGACTACTCCATATAACTTCTGAGTGTCATGGTTCTGCAGCCTGCAAGGCAGAAACTTAAATTACTCAGTTCAGAATTGATCTAAGAAAGCTGCACATTGGTTTCCAAACTTGAAAATTGTCCTGAATAACTGGGTATGACCAAGTTTTGATTCCTCTATATTCTTTATGGACTTATTTCAAGGTCCTGAATTTGTTAAAACTCTCCGGCCCTGTTTGGGAGGAATTAAATTTTTCTACAGTAAATCAACTCTCATTTTCAACCACACATTTTTCAATAAAATAATATTTTCCACACATCAATAATTTTTTCTTCTTTTTCAACCACACATTTCCCATCATATCACTATTCAAAATCAATTCTCCCCCCCCAAAAATCTCTCCCAAACAAGCTCTCAATGTTCGAATCTGGGTATTGGCTAAACATTTTGCCTAAAGTGCTGTCTGCAGACTCACATGTCACACATCTTGTCCAATTACAGAAATTTGATATGTGTGCATTATACTTTGACCTATAGCATTATCAAAGAATGTGTGCTCAAACTGAATTTAACTAATGAAAGAAATGCGTTATAAGAATGATGTCGACTTAGAAGTGCAAAATATTCAGTTGGAGAAACCATTTTTATTTAAATAAAATGGAACATGGAGAACCAATCCTTCTTCCTCGGCCATCGTTACATGAAAGGAGAAATATATGTTCCAATATCGGACATTGCCCATGTTAAGTCCAAATTATAATTGGCAATTTTCTTAGTCAAAATCATGTCCTAGTTGAATTGTATTAGGAGTTTATCAAGTGTAATTAAAGTCAAAATAGGAGTTATTAAGTTCTAATTGTAGCAAAAGAGTTGGAATTTGTAGTATAGGTCTTGAAGGAGTTCAAGATATCCAAGAAGATCACATATGATCATTGGAATACAATTAGAAGTCTAAAGAGCGTCAAAAAGCCGAACAAGTTATGCTTCAAATTCTCAGTCGTAATTTGCAATGCATTTTTCACATTGAAACCATTAGAATTTGGACAAGGCTATTTCTAGAAGAATTGTAGTCTTTTGAGTTAGCTTTCCAACGCATTTTGAATCAACTCAACCATATATCGGGAACTAAAGTTATGATAAAAATATTGACGACTGCTCAGCTACCGCTCGCTTGTCACTGGTTTGGCGCTTGAGCGACTTGTTGATGTTTAGATATCTGTTTTGCTTCAAACACTTTGTTTCTCAATTCATTTTCATCTCAAACACTTTCCCCTATATATATGCTACCCCTATGAACGTTCCAAAAGTGTGTTGAATAATATTTTTTTCATAGAGATCACTACTGTGATGATCCGAAACATTCTTTGATTCTAAAATTCAACCCCACATATTACTTGATCCATAAATTCTTCCAAAACATATTTTGTTGATCAAATCATATTGTGACACACAAGATCTTTTCATCAAACACCAAACCACACAAGATCTATTTTAATATTTCTTTCGTGGATAAATGGCTGTTGTTCTGCTTCTGTTGATTACAGTAAACTGTCATGCATATGTGAGGACTTTTAGCTGCACCTACCTGATGAAGGCATTATTCTCTATATTTCAGGTTTGCGTGCTGAGATGATGACTGGGAATGTAAAGAAGCTGCCTACTTGGGAGAGTTAGAAGAAACGAGCATGAACATATCATTTACACAAATCTTTCTAAGCAAAAGTTAATGTACGGTATTCTTACTAACTTTCGTTCAATAAAACATGTATGATATTCTTTCTAACTTTATTCACCTAACAATATTATCATAGCACGACTGCACGAGCAGCCTCCCCCCTACCCCTTCTTCCCTCTTTCTACTAACTAATTCTTTCCTTTTACAGTTTACTGATGCTCTTATAATGTAGACATTGCCTCGAGCTACGGCTGAGATTTGGGATTTTCGACGATGTTCATTAAGTCCATTTTGACTTCAATGGATACGATCATACCACAGCTTTCATCACCTCGCTACTGTTTGTTTTTCGGCAGTAGGAATTTTCTCTTGCTTCTCAAGTTGACGAACCACTACCAACATCCAGAGAATCAACAAGTATCTATGATTCACATGTCGACTGGATCTATTGTAGGTTCTGGAGGAAGCAAACAATTTTACAGTTGTAGTTGATGCATTGTGACGATCAGCTGGGTTATTTCTTGGATCATCATGTAGGTTTGAAATTATTCAACAGACACCTGAGGTATGTTTGGACTTTGAAGCAGACTATTATGTGGGCACTGGATAGTATAAGAGGCAAAATTTTAACCTCGTTTTCTTACTGTCCAATACAGTAATAATTCACGTTGTCAAACATACCAGTGGGGCATTTTGGCCAGTTTCATTTCAAGAATTCTTGAGCGAACTTTCTAACGAGTAAAGTTAATTGCTATAGTAGTCTTTTATTATTGCTATAGTATGTAGCAATTAATAATGCATTTAAAGTTAATTATTATCTGGTTTTCTAGAATCATTCTGTTTGTTACTTGTTTTATTAAGATAGAAGAGTTGAGATTCGGAATAAAATATATGCGGAAATATACCAAGAATATTAGGATTCTCATTGAATTTTAAAATTAATTTGCTATAAGCTTTTGGAAGATAGTTTGAAGATATAAAAGTTTACAGTTTACGTGAGCTGATACAATACGCACGGTATGAAAGACAAATATGTGTATAGAGTTCAAGTTTCGCTATAATTCTTCATGAATATTCTTTTTTTTTTTTGATAAGAAATTCTTCATGAATATTCTTGGTATTTCTGAACTCAATCAAACTTATAAAGGGCATATTTGACCCTAATTTTTTTTTTTTTTTTTATAATGCATTTTGGAATAATAGATTGATGAAAAATGTGTTGTTAAAAATGAAGAAAAAGTTTTTGGGTTGTGACACCGGGTAGAATAGTGATTATTTTGCAGGCTACTTTTATCGACAAATTCATAGGAAGAACACAAGATTAACGTCGAAAACACAGAGAAAATATCTCTGAAATTTAAAGAACTTTATTATATCACGCAATAATTCAAAATAAGTCCACAGCCGGATTTTATAGCAAAAATTCGAATTTTATCAAAAATATCAAAATTTCGAAAATCATGCCAAACCGGGTTAAAAATAAATAAAATAAGTAGTCTGCGAGAAATCTAGTACAAATCGGGTTAAAAATCATCTCTTAATATGCAATCGAAATATTATAAAAAATAGCAAAATTTAACTAAAAATAGCAATTAGGAAGGGACATCAACGAAATTTGAGGTTGAAGACGGCACACACCGAGCAAAGATTTTCGAATTGTGGTCATAATTGCGATTCTGATAACCGTAGCCAAAGTTATGACCAAATTACCGAAACACTACTCAATTACCAAAGTTGCCCGATCACTTGCTATTCTTGCGCCGATCTACCAGCTCGTGATACTTTAGAGCCATTAACGTGTTATCTGATAACATAGCATTTGACTCGGACCCTCCTACATCAAGTTGTATGTAATATTATTTTATTGAAAAATGTGTTATTGAAAAGAAAAGAGAGAAAAACGTAGTTTAAAAAAAATTGGAATCAAACAACATCAAAGTTTAAAATTCAAGTAGATGATTTGGCAAAAACAATTGTACTAGCCGAGAAAAGTATTTCTGATTAGGAATCCAATGCAATCTGTTAGACCTCAATTAGTTCTAACTTTAGTTGACCAAAAGAGAAATTATTTGGATCCAATCAATGCACATATCCATAGTTTTTTTAATATTTTTTATCTTTATAAAGGGTAGGCTATGAATAAATCCTATCCAAAGAAGTATAAATCACAACTTTTTATGAGAGTGATAAAATTAAATCACGTAAAGAAGTAAAGTCGTGACCTTTTCTGTGGAAGTTTATCATGGAATAATTTTAATTCAAACATCATGGTTTGGTCTAATTAATTAATTGGCTTTTAATTAACTTTTCCGACAAGGAATCAAAATATTCCTTACTTTGTAATTTGTCTTCCTCTGTAGTTTGAACATGTTGCACTATTTACCGTTTTTCCTACAGCGAAGGATCCAATTGAAGACGTTAACATCGTGGGATTAAAGACTTTCATAGAAATTTAGGAAGCTCATCTCCGTGCGATTTGAGGTTTCACTAGGACGGAGGATAGATGGTTTTATTTCGACGTCCGAAGACCTTTGTTATCCGGTATATGGAGATATTAACGGAGGATTAGATATGCAAGGACACTTAATACCTTACGAAGAGGGTAGTGATTATGAGTTATAGCTCATATGAATTGTATGGATAATGAGTAATAATTGTGAGTTCGATAAGTTGTGCGGATAAAAGAAATGATTAAATTATATATATATATTTATTTATAACATGTCATGTGCATGGGTGGGTGCACTATCAACAAGTAGTCCCATGCAAAGTAAAGCTACACAGGGATGTTGTGTGTACAGAAACTATATATATATACAGAAATGCAACAAAATACACATACACAGATGGGGCCCATTTTTTTGGCAATATTTTACTCACATGAGACCCACTCCCATGTGAGTGTTCTGGAAAATTTCTGGCAATTCCATTTATGTACAAATGGAGAATGTGTAATTAAAAATGAATTTGAGAAAAAATAAATTTTAAAAAAATGAAGGATAAACATGGCACTAATCACATTGTGACTTTTTCTAAGAAATTGTAGCAACATGCCACCACACAAGACCAAAAAAGAAGATTACAGGCTAAGAAAAACCCAAAAAATAATAAAAACAAATCAGACAGATAGACAACAAATTAGCCCTTAAGAGAGAATTTATGTAAGTATATATTTCTATCTTTATATATACATTCATAAAGCGCCCTCCTTTATTTTAGCTCCTTATTCTCATTCACCCTTTATTATCTTCTGTCTCTAGAGAGGTGATGTAATTCTCTCTCCACTATACACCTCCAAGACCAGTTAACCTTTACAAAAAAGGAGAAAGATCATCAAGAACAATGGTTTTTTCTTCAATTCCAGCTTATCTTGATCCAGCCAACTGGCAGCAGGTTAGGGTTTTCTTTGATATACTTTAAGAGCTTCTTTGCCAAAAAAGCAAAATTCAAAAGATAAATATTCTTCTTGATCCTTTTTTTTCTTTTTGTTTATCTCATGATCTTTTAGTTATTTTGTTTATTATTCAAGCCTTTAATTTGTTGAATATACCAGATGTTGCATTTTCTGCTTTTTCTGATTTTTTTTGCAGCATCAAAATCATCAAATTATTGGAAGTAGTAGCACAAACCCTTTGCTGTCACAGCCGCCGCCTCCGCCTCCTTCTTCAGCTCAGCCCCATGCCAGTGGTGGCACGGGTTCGATCCGGCCAGGGTCGATGTCGGAGCGAGCCCGGATGGCCAACATACCGATGCCAGAGGCTGCCCTTAAATGCCCTAGATGTGAATCAACAAACACAAAGTTTTGCTATTTCAACAACTATAGTCTCTCTCAGCCTCGACACTTTTGTAAGGCCTGTAGAAGATACTGGACTAGAGGTGGCGCTCTGAGAAGTGTTCCGGTGGGAGGCGGCTGCCGGAGAAACAAAAGAAGTAAATCTACAAGTTCAAAGTCTCCAGCGCCACCCAATAATAGCCGGCAAACCACCACTAACTCCACCAGTACCGGTACCATTTCTTCCAACGGTACCGGACCGGCTAATATTTTAGGCATCAACTCTCAGTTTCCACCTCTACGCTTCATGTCTCCTTTAGGTCAACTTACTGATAACTATAGCACCGGTGATATCAGCTTAAATTACAGAGGAATCTCTGCTCCGATTAGTGAGATGAACTTTCAGATGGGAAGTAATAATTTCCTGGGTGGTGGGAGTGGTGCTGGAGCTGGGATAGCTTCCTCTTTATCAAGTGGTGGCATTGAGCAGTGGAGGTTTCATCAACAATATCCTTTCTTGGGTAGTATGGATCCATCTCCTGCGGGGCTTTTCCATTTTGAAGGTGGAGACGACCAACCTAGATTCGCCGGTGAAACCAGCCAGGCGGCGCGGCCTAAACTTTCAAGCTCAATGCTAAATCAGAACACTACATCAGTGAAAATGGAAGAACATTTGTCGAAGTTGAATTTGTCCAGGCAGTTAATGGGAATGCCTGGAAATGATCAATGGAGTACTGGTACTGCAGCTTCTTGGACCGATCTTTCATGTTTCAGTTCTACTTCAACAAACAATCCCTTATAAATTATATGTCTCAGCTTTGGCTCGACTCAAGGTTCTCACGAAACTTCAGTTTAGTTATCATCAACGAAGCGCGCTTAAATTTTATGCATAAATTAAGCCTTATATGAAGGCATTGTGACTAAAATCTAAGCCCAACTGACAACTTTGAGAGATGGATAAATTAAAGGCTTAGGGTTCCTTTTAATAAGATCGGCTGGAAACCCTAGAATTTATTTTTATTTGTAGCATTGTACTGCTTTGAGAATATATATGTATAGACTAGAGTGAGTGTTTTGAGTTCACCTGCATCTATCGATATATTTTATGTGCACAATTGTTAACCTTAATTTAATTAGAGTACCTTTTTAATGTTTTCCCAAGTTGAGGGCTTGTTTTATTAAAAGGGAATCATGTTGCATCTTGCAATCCAATGGAACGGATAAATTGCTGATAACTTCAGATTTTGCTTCGAGATAGTTCCCAATAATCTCACAGAATTTGAGCCCTTTCACCCTCAAAATAATCTGAACTATTCACTTTTACTTATTTCTGAACAGTTTTCAGAAAATCAGAGTTTAGTTATATTCATATCCCAAGAAAACTTCTCGTTCAGAAACAGATATTTCAACAATCTTTTTCTTTCCTGTAGAATGACTTGGAAAACTTCATTGAAACTTTTATCCAATTTTGAATGTCGGAAAACTAAGACGAAGGAGCAATCAGTGTTCAGGTTGCATTAATAGTAGACATCGAACATTTAAAGTAAGTTTGAATAGCTTCCAGATTCTAGCAACATAGTGTCATTGCACCAGATCAATCTCAAGAGAATTATAGGTGTTCGAGTTACATTATCAATAGATTTCGAAATTCGAATGCCTATGGTAAATTACCAAAGAACTTTTTAGTATGCTAGACTAAAATTTTGAAATATCAAAATTATAGTGATATGTTGAAATTTGAAAAGGGAACTGCCAATAATATGACAACAAGATGGAATATTGTGTGGATTTCCTTGCTGATATATAGAGTATTGAGCCCCGTTTGAGCCCATTTTTTGCAAATGAATTTTGTAAAAAGTGAGTTTTTTGGTGAATATACGTTTAAAAGTAAGAATTTTTTTTAGGTTCGTGTACAAAATCATTTAGCCCATGTTTGATGGTTATTATTTGTGAAAAAACAATATTTTGAATAACGATTTTTAGGAAAATATATGGTAAAAAGTAAGGAAAATTTTAAATTTACATGCAAAATATTTTATTGCGTGAATGTGTGATTCTAAATGAGTACGTAGAAAAAAGAGTTTTTAAATAATGGTTGTCAAACAAGAGTTTAATAGCGAGAATGTATAATTGAAAATAAATTTTAAATATGTGACTCAAATAAGGGCTAAAATCATATTTTTAGCAAATTTTCGAATGTTTGTTTAAAATTAAATTTTTATGTTTTTTAACTAGACCAAATATGGACTAAATATTGAGATTAAGGTAGTGTAAAACTTGGACAAGAAAAACAAAAGATGCCAAAATGCTGAAAATTCTTAAGCAAAGTGGTCTTAGTCCCTTTTTTGTGTAGTTAAAAATCACATTTTAAGTAAATTTTGAAAGAAATTGATGATATATATTTAAAGTTGATAAAAATTATAAGTTCAGTAGAATATGCAATTATTTTTAAATAAAATTGTAAGTGAGATTTAGAGAGAGACTTCTCACGTCACTAAAGGCTGCATTACATCAGAGTCAAAAGATGTCCACAGCAAGTTCGAGATTGCAATTTCATGCAAATGCACGCGATTCAGAGAGTCTTCTTCTTCACACTTGACACTTCTTTTCTTTTCCCCCTTTACCTTTCTGTCACTGCTTCTGACACAAAAACTCAAATCTGCAAATCTTATTTCTTGCAATGTCCTCGAAAAGAGTATCTGCTATAGCTAAATGTTCGATAACTTCTTCATTTTTATTTTTTTTGTAAATTATAAGCGGTTAGTTCTACAAAATGGAATGTGTTTATAGAAAAGTTAATAAAAATTGTTCGTCGTGTGATAGAATATTGATGTTTTTGACTTGAAAAAATGAAGCCAATTACATTTTTCTGATTATTTCCTGAACTAGGCTCTAAAACATCGATTATGAGAGAAATAAGTAGATTATTTCTTCATAATGTCATGGAAAAGTGATTAGATAAAAAATAAATCCTTGACGAGGTTAGAGTTTTGTTGAATGGTTTCCATGGGAATGTTCTTTTTTGCTGTTTCGAGATTTCTTCCATCATTTGAATGTCTATTGATGTTGGAAGAATACAAAGGATTAGAATATAAAGTCACCCAATCATCAATAATGTTTATCTCAATGATGACATTCTTAAAAGACTCATTGACGATTGTATATAGAGAAATTTACAACAAAAACAAAAAAGTTGATATCATTCAAGGAGTTAAAGTTAACGTTGAAACCAATAATTTGAATGTTCTAAAATTCGAACGAACAATCAAATTATAAATTTAACGTTCTCAAACAAACTGCTATCTTAATAATGACTTCACTAAATAATCTTTTAAAGCGAGAGGTTGAGAATAAAAAGCTGACATCTTAACGAAATCCAAGAACAAATGCTCATTTGGGATGTATATATCATTATTTTCATTTGATTCATTGAGCACGTATGTAGTGAAAAGTGAGACTACTTCAAAAATATTTAAACAAAATGATCTTTTAGAGCAATTTTGTGCAAAGGATTTGATTTTTTTATTTATTTTTATATATCTAAAATGCTAGAAGAGTAAATTTAATACAAATTTACGTAATTGAAATTTGAAACGGTTATTTATAAAAGTTCGATTAAACTCTCAAAATTTCAGAATCGACTCTGCTAGTAACTCTCAAATATGAATTCAAGTCTGCTTAAAAATTAGATCGAATCGAGCAATTTCTTGTTCTAATTTGACCTAAGTTGTGGTTCGAGTAATAGTACTAATGAAATTTCTTCATATTTCATGGTGTGGAAGAAAAGGAATCTTTGAGCATTTTACTTTCGTGAGAATCAAGGCTGCTTACCAACAAGGAATAAAGCAAATCTTAGTCCCCACAAATAAAGAGAGTGTGTATGTGAGTGCGTGTATATGTATATCATGATCATATAATGGCTAGGAAGAAATAAATCATATAAATTTGATTATCTGTCGGGACTTTATCCTCTCTATAATTTCAAGTTGAAGAGTAAGCGAGACTATCATGTACTCAGAAAATTGTCTATTTTTTACGTACTATTATTTATTTGATATGTAGACATGTAAAGGGGTGTAATAATGAAGCACACCGTCCAATCCTATGAAAGGATTGGGCCTCGATGGTTCACGAGTCGAGCCGAACTCGTTCGTAAAAATGTGCTTAAGCTAGGTATCGGGATCGACTAGCTGTCCGAAACTATTCCTGATCATTTAGACACTCGAAATTTTCAGCTACTGGCCCGTGGATAGATTTACTCGAGTTATGGACTGATTCACAAGCCGTTTTTATCGGACCATTCTAGACGGGCAATGCTAGGCCCTTCTAGTTGACACCAGCTGAATCTCAACTAAAAATAAGTCACGCTTATTTAATCCACACATCGATTTAAGGGTGACAATGTGACATAAAGTATCGAATACTCCGTACTCAAGGAATACTAGAAATTTTTATACATAAGAGTGATCTAATACCAGTGGTGCTACAACACCAGTTTAGATGATGTAATGTAATAAGTTCAATAAGATGTGCGATTAATGAATCATTTAATTGTACCTCTTATTTAATACTACATCGGTGTCATCTAACCTCGTATTTTAACATCAGTGATACTAAATAACATTCCTCGTAATAATGTGGGAAGAGATCAAAGGAATGTTTGGCTCGGAAATTCAAGCTAGATCTTACCATTTTCAGCAGCTGTGTATATGTATATATAATATATTAGAAGGTAAGCCGGAGCTATGGGGGGCAGACAACTTTTGCTTTTGACAACTATAATTACAGAAATGTTACTAAAGTGAAGGGGTTGAGATTCCAATCACATAACATGTCTGCTCGAATCTGATTCCGCCTTCATTTCTACAAAATATCGCCTCTTCCCAGCTTCTCTCCACTTTTGTTTTTTTTTTTAGTTTTGTTTTATTTTAATGTCAAACATTAATCTACGTGCCGAGTAATTGTCATCAATTGAATTCTACCTTATAATTGTCACGTAGACTCGATGATAATGTATAAGCATCAACTCAAAAATACGATATCAAAATTTAGCAAGTAGTACGGGTACATGGAAGTGCTTAAATAGAAACAAAAATAAAATCTTAGCTAAGCGCTCATTTGATTTTAACTTCTTCTTTTTTTTTTTTTAATTTTAATCTTTACTTCAAATATACTAAGCGCTCATTTGATTTTGATTCTTTGAAGAGAAAAGTAATAGAAAAACGTGAAAAATCATTTTTTAAGCCAAAGAAAATAATCAAAAGAACGTGAACTCTAAGAAAAAAAGCATTACAAACTAAGTGGAGATTAACGTGTATTAAAATAGTGATTAATCAAATAATTAATAACACGACAAGGAAACTTTTAGACCAAGGAAAAAATATATATATTTTTTAAAATTTTGTGCTCGTACGTACGTAGTTGTTAATAATTATATATTACATATATTTATATTTAATGAAGATAATGGAAGATTAATTAATTAAATATAATTTCGAGCTCTATATTTTATTTTTTGAATTGTCGTTTTTCTTCATGCAACACAAAGTTGCGTACAAAAACTAATATTGTTGAAAAACTCCACTGAAAAGCGTTAATTACATTGGCCACTTTTTAATTAGTGCTTTGGTATTTGTTTTCATGCATGCATTATCTGCATGGCACATACAAATTACAATTGCGTCAACAACCACTTGACTAGTTTGAATTTGAACGAAGAATTTTTTATTGCGTCAAGAAGCAACTTTCTAGTTTGATTGTGCAATATATAATTTTTTATTTTTTTTTTAACGGTTCTCGACTCAGATACTAAGCCATCTATTGGAATATTACGATAGCATGGACAACCTTCACTCAGGAGCATATCCAAGAATTTATGTTGCCTGGCTGAAATTCAGCCACTCTTTGGTTTAGATAAAAATAAATACCTCCATTCACATCCCCTGCTTTATGATCTCTGGAAATTCCCGATATAATGTCAAATTTTTAGAAAATTTTGATAAAAGTTGATGAAATGTACGGTTCAAAAGTTGTAAATCTAATAAAATGTTTGATTAAAATTTAATTATTTACTTTAACTTCAATTTTAATCATCTTTTTAGTTGAACCAAAGTGGGGCTAAGTCGATGCAATTAAGAAAAGTCAGTTGGACTCTGGGTTGGGACTTTGTCTGCTATTTTAAACTTGTGGGCTGAATTTTTCATGACTTGGTCTATATGTTAAAAAACGAGACACTCCTTTATTTGTTAGAATTGGGCTAGAGTTGGGCCGAGCTGTAGCCAGGTACAGCCCTTTCCTAAATTCGCAAGTTACGGATTCTACTTCCATAATAAAGGTGTACTTCTATTACAGATACGGCCCTTTCCTAAAATAAAGAGCATTTTGTATTTGAAAAATCTCTTGAAGATGCTCTAACGTTACTCTTCATTTCCGATCTACAAGAAATCGTCTCAACAAAAGTTCTGTCAATCTACTGTCACATGGTAACTAAGTGATTTGGATGGTAGAATACCAAATAATATTAAGAATAAAAAATAGCTAAATTTTTATACATTGCACAGTCTCGTTCTGCACAGTCTCGTTCCACAAGTTTGTTAATTTTAGTGAATGATACCAAAAGAGAATTGATTCAGAGAAATGAATGCAATCAAATCACATTCATACTAATTTCACGTTTTTCTACGCTGAATTTCATATCCAAGTTCAACAATCCTGCAAATAAGCACAGACTAGATTTCTTTTGTTTTCTATCCCAATTTCATAACAAGAAAAAAGTATGATTTGATGGCATTAAATAATTGCATTTTGTAATTCTTTTGATGAAATACAGCATAATTTGTGTTATATTATGTCTAATATGTAAAACTCATTATTTAATGAAAGATTGGAAAAATCAAGCGAAAAAATAAAGAAAAATGGTGAAATCCAAACTATGAGACTAAAGTGCAACATTTCAATAGTTGTGTCAGATTGCAAGACGGTGATTCAAGAATGCCAATGGTCCATTGAAGTGATGAGAAGTCAATGGGATTAAAAATTATCGAAAACGACCGAAATACACACATAAAAAAGTACTGGACCAATTTACGAATTGGTCCCAAAATGGTAAAACCATGTGTACGCATATGCTTGCACGCCTCGCATACGCACAAAGTCATTATGGAGTTATCGAGGCTAAATCATGTTTACTATGCGTATGTATCATAAGTTTTCCACTACGTAAAAGACCTCCCTTAGACCCAACATTCATACATCCTACCTATTTTAGACGTGAAGAACGAGGCCAATTAATCAATCAAATGCGGATTTTCACAGGATTACTGAAGATTTCTCTTCCATTTTCAAGATTTCATTCAAGAAAGTGGATTTCTCCACTTTCGTCCATCATTTCTTGATTCGGGTGATGTTATTCCATATTTTCTTGTGTAATTTATTGTTTAGGATTATTAGCTAAGTTTTTCTAATGTATTGGATGGTTGATGAACACTATTTTTTATTTGAATTTAAGACTTTAATATAGGTATTTCTTGATTGATTTTGCATTCTTGTTGCACTACTTAATTGTTTGGTCATCAATTGAATAGTTAGTTACTTGTTATAGTGTAGGAATACTCACAATAAATTTACAATGCGATAAAATCAACGCATGGGCAATATGTATTAATGTATTTCATGTAGAATCATGTAGATAACCTAAACTAAATGCATGATTTTCATATGAATTCGGATGAGAAATAAGATTGATTCATGTTAATCATATATTTGTGTATTTTGGAAAAAAAACATTTAACATATTAGCGCTATCGATTGTTAAAAAAAAAATGCATGAAATTAACTAGATTATTAATTGATAATTGAAATAGATGAAAATCGGAAGAATCATGAATCCAATACAAACATTCACATTAGACAAAACCACGATTTACTTGCTTTATTAGTACAGATTAGAAGTAGTATAAACAACCACAAAATCACTCTTTTGTTGTCGCTACTCATTCGAATTGTATTCTAACTGCTGAACTACATTTTAAATTTTATTTCTCGTGGGAACGACAAACTCGAAACTCATTATTTCTATTACTTATACAACGATCTCGTACACTTGCGGGTTTCACGCGAACAGAGTACAACGTTTGTAAAACAAACCATTAAATGAGAATGTAATGAATAATGATTCAATAAATAAGATGTCCACACAAACAAGAAAAAATAATGATTCAATAAGTAAGGAATGTAAATAAATAAGAAAAGGCATAACAGATTATTAATTTTGAAGCAAATTGATTATGTGGAGAAATTGTTGACTATATTTGCTATACATAACTCAAAAACTGTTACTCTACTTTTGATTAATCATTTTAAGCTAAGTAAAGAACAATGCCTTGTAGATGAATCTCATGTTAAACAAATGGAAAGGGTTCCCTATACTAATGTCGTAGGGTCAGTTATGTATATTATGGTCTGTACAAAACGTGATGTGGCTCATTCCATTAGTAGACTTCACAGATTTATGGCTAATCCAAGATTTGAACATTGGGTTGCTTTAAAATGGTTGTTGAGATATTTGAAGGATTATTCATACTTAGGCTTATGCTTTAGTGCCTGTAATGAGGGTGTAGTGCTTAAAGACTTTGTAGTTCAAATTTGCTGGAAATAAAGACAACTAGAAATCGACTACATCTTATATGTTTACTTTGTGTGGGATATGTCTCAATTGGAAATCCCAACTTCAACTTGTTGTAGCTCTATCCACAATTGAGGCTAAATATGTTGTTGCAACTGAAACAATAAAGGAGGTGTTATGGCTTAAGGGGTCTATTATCTGAAGTTAGGGAACTCTATAAACATGTTGTTATATAGTCAAACAGTCAAAGTGCTATACATTTGTGTAAAAATCTAGTTTATCTTGAACGAACAAAACATATTGATGTTAAATTGCATTTTAATTTATTAGAGATGTAATTTCTAAAGAAGTTTTACTTCTTAAGAAAATTGCTACTCAATTTAATCCAACTGATATGGATACTAAGGCACTGCCTCTAAACAAGTTTGAGTTATTGTTTGTTTGGTAAGGGTCTTAAATATGTTTTAAGGGTGATTTTCTGAGTGAAATATGGTGAAAGAGTATATTGTTTGTTTGGAAACGGTGAGCACTTTTGTTTGGAAACGGCGAGCACTTCTGGTCCATAGAAGAAGTTGCACAGTTTCTGTGATTGTGAGGGTTATTGGATGAATCTTATTGTATTGATACAGAAGGGTGCAATATCTTTGAGCCTTCGATCCTTCGATCGCTGATATCTTGGTTTTCAATAGTTTGGATAGAAAGTTTTGTAATAGGATGAATTGATCTATTGTTTTGTACATCTGGTTTGTATAACAACAACATTAGCAATACAAGAAAATGTTCGTTCTTTACAGTAAATCCCTTACCACATAAGGTATAGAACTAAACAAAGCAACAAATAAGATTTTAGCTTTTACTTCTTTTTTTTTTTTTTTAAACTGAGTTCAACACTCTAAACAATTAATCAATCTTCATCATCTTGTCGAGGTTTCTTCTTTTTCTGGTCTACATCATCGTCGCCGTGAGAAATTGCAGTAAACATCGATTCAACTGCTGTAGAGATATCAAATTGGAGGGTTCCTGGGGATGCTTTTCTTTTTGTTGAAGTTGAGGGTTGTGGCCTGGTTTTCCTGGGTGCTGGTGGGCACTGTTCCATCACTGGGATTTTGTGATCCAAAGATGTCGGAGTTTTGAATCCATCGTCAGATTCTGCTACTTGGGATTGCTCTAAACATGGATTTTCTGATTCTTCTCTTGATGAAGAAATTGAGGCCATACAATCTTTTTCTTGTTCCTTTTCTGTATCATGCTCTTGAGAAGAATCTTGATTTTCCAGCTTAGGTTGCGATGAACTCTCGACTTTGATCCCTTTTTCTTCTTCTTTGACGAGGAAAAACTCTTTATTTGACATAGAGTAGTATTGAAATTGATCAGTTTCTAAGAACATGAAGAAAAATTTAAAACTTCTAGAGAGTGAGGGAGGGGCGGACTTGAGAAAGCCAGGAAGAGAGAAAATTATTGTTAGAGAAAACCAACGTGCATTGCCTTAAGTGGCTTTTCATGGTCAAAACTTCTTTAGATTTTTGTGGTTTTAATTCAAACTTTTAAGTGGAGAAGAAAGATAAGTAATTGGTTAATGTGTATGAATTACGACGTAGGTTCCATCTTAAAATACCAATCTAATTTAAATTCATATATTAGTACAAATCCATATAGATTAATTAGCCCTTTCGAAATTGTAATAATGGATGGATCCATGAAATTTGTGATTAAAAATGTATAAAATTATGGGTCCAATGAAATGTATAATTAAAAATGAAGTTTGATCGGTTTAAATCATGAAAAAAAAAAAAAGAACTTCGTCGTATCCTTAACATGTCCTCGTAAGAAGGTCCTTTATTTGAAAAATCAATCTTAAAATTTGAATGTTTATCTGACCTTTAGACGAACATAATTACTCGTTTGAGATTAAATTATTAATTTTTAGTCAATTATTCATTATTCACTAAATTGAAAAATGAAAAATGGGATAAGTGATCAAAATTTTAATTATTAAAAATAGACATTTTAAAATATAAAGACTATTTGTGACATAAGTTTATGGTGTCTTCACCTTATAAATAATAGAGAGGAGAGAGAGAGAGAGCATTGGATCCTTGGCTAACATCCCTTTCTGTCTCATACAAAGACACGCACACAATCCGCATATCCATATGGGCTGTTCGATATGGGCATTTTAGTCTTACAAAGGCAAGCTGATGTAAACAACCAATGATGTCAACCCAACATCTCTAATCTTCTCATAATATCTCTCCAACGGTTAAAGACACTGTTGACACTAAGTTATACAGAAATGATCTAATGAGTACCGGTGCTCATCTTATCCTAAGCACCGATGAGTTGGNATAAGATGAGCACCGGTACTCATTAGATCATTTCTGCTAAGTTATAATCCCACAAAATATATAAATAAATAATTATATTTAATCAACTTAATTTATAATTTAAGTTTTACCAAACATACACTTTTATTACTAATATTTTATTTTAGTTTGCGATATTTCATTCATGTGTCTATTTGTATAATTTGACGGTGTAATACTTTTATCGTCTAACTAGACAAAATCAATCATGTTGAACAAATCTTGATTTTTTTTTCTTGATAAGAACACATTTCAAAAGCTTGGCTTATATAACAATGCATGTTTTTGAGACAAAAATATTGCACCAACAGTTTTTCAGATCGCTATATTATTTTCCTTCGTTGTGTAAGTGTTCCCTTAAATTCAATGGGACGAAATGCCCAAATTGAAACACTGACGTGGCTAAGCATCGAGCAAATCAACAATATGAGTTGAATGCTAACATTGTATTCTCCGGGTTCTACTGAACAAATTTATGAAAAAGTTATTGCATATCGAATGCGTCTAATAATAATAAACTTTCACGACACACACTCCATACATTAGACTATAATTCTGTTTATAAATATTCAAGTTACTTTTTATCCACAAATTTCTAAGGACATGCAGATACTATCAACTTATTAATCACTTGTTTCTATTTATTTATAATTTAAACCGTTTATAAAATACTTCTCAAACATTACATGCTAAAGTGATGTCCACTTTGAAGGCGACAAAGCGCACCTTGGTCGAGATGGTAGAAACAAGTCGAACGAAACTTACAGTTGTCGATAAAGTCTCATCGCCCTTTGCTTGCAAATACTCCTATAAAATTGATTTAAATCCAAATACACCGTGTGGAACCTTTTCCTCGTAATATATATTTTGACTTCATTAATTTAATATTAAATAATAAGTGGATAACATTGAACCTTAACTGGGGTTAGTAACCTAGGATTCCCAACTGTAAATGGAAGGTTGCTATTTGATTTTTTTTTAATGCAATTTAAATTTTCAACGGAGTTAGTAAACAAAATACAACTTAAATTTGATAAGTTCCATCCCTGTAATCAAGGATTTGTTAATAGTTTACACGATTGGGAACTAATTGTCTAACGACAATTTGTTAAATTTGTTCGGCAGTCAAACAACGGGGACAAGTTAGTTTTGTTAACAAAATATAATTAAAAAATAAAAAAATTGCATGCATTTTCTTTTGAATGAAGCATTTCATTTGGGGATCGTAGTACATGGTTGTGATTGTTTGTTTATATTATAGCATTTATGAATCATGTAACTTGACAATTAAAATGTATTTACTATGTTAGATTAGACAGAGAAAATTACACTCGCACTTATTTTTTAATTTTTCCTTTCAAAAATCAGATTTTAAATTTATTCTTTCAAAACTTTAGTGTACCGTATGTACTACAACCCACCACACCTCACCCCACCTGCGCCACATATCATTTAATTCATTTATCCCCATTTTCTGGATCCATACTCGTAACTTTCCAACTCACTCATCCCGACCATTTCACCACCAACAGACTATCGAAACGGCATCAACTGTTCGTCGATGACGACGGAGGGATGAGCTTTCTTTTTTCAGAGGTCATCGTCCTTTTATTTCTTCTATCCTGTCTGTCAAAGAACCTAAGAACTTTGCAGAAGTAGCATCCGAGAAGTGTCGGCAACCGACAGAGAACTTTCAAAGAAGCCCTTGGAATGCAAAGCATTCTTCCTTTTCTGATTGAAAGTAGTAAGTCACTCTACTAATGGTACAAAGGCCACATAGAGGGTTGCTCATCTAGCCTGTCACATGATTCGTGGGTCGATGGTGACGGTGCACTCCATTCTTCGCCATATCGTCCTGAGCAAGTATTCTTCCATTTCATTGTCGTCGAGTTTGTCTCAACTACCTCGGGATTCCATTCACTCAACTTCAGTGGCGACGGTGCATGCGGTTCTCCGTCACATCATCCCCGAATCATGTCTTTCAACATTGGCGTAATGAGTGTTGATGAATTTGATGTGAAAGTGGTAGTAGTGGTGGGTGTGGATTTGAGATGAAGGTTGTGCTAGTGGTGGTGGATTTGAGGTGATGACGATTTGGATAGTGTCGTTGGTGTTGCTTCTTCTGGTTGTGGAGGTAGTGGAGGGTTGTTAATTTGAGGTAGTGTTGACGATAGTAGTGTTCGAGGAGATGAGGTGGGGTGAGATGAAAAGTGATTGTGACTAATTAATTTAGTAATTTATGACCAATAAATAAATCGTGATCTATAAAAATAAGTAATTTGCAATTAAATATGTAATTGTAACCAACAAAATTGTGTTTTGTGACTTATTGTGAAATGTTTAATTAAATTTACAAGCCACAAAATTTTATTATAGGTCACAAAACATGACAAGTCGATATTTGAAATTTTTTCATAAGTTTCTCACTTTTGAATTTGTCTTTTGAAACCTTTAGAGTTATGCGTTCTTTTCCAAATAGATATCACACATCACCACACCCGTTTAAGGCCCATTTGACAGTCTCTTGAAAAGTCAAAATCCAATTCTAAGAATGAGAAGTTATTTTCGAACATATTTGAACAATTTTTTAGAATAACTTTTAGAAAAAGTTAATATAATATAACTTTCTCAACAAATGCGTTTTTAAGAAACAAAAGCAAAGACATGCTAAAATAATACTTAATTATTTATACACTCACTTTGTAAGAGAATAAAATACATATGAATTTTAAATTATTTAGCCCTATTTAGTTTGAATAAATATTATATTTTTAATAAATTTTAATAAAACTTGATGAAATATGTAGTTAAAAAGTTTATAATAATTGTAAATTTCATAAGATGTGTGATTGAAAATTTAAAGAAAAATGAATATTAATAAATGAGGAAATTAGGCCCAATGCTCTAGAAACACAATAAATTAGATTAATACACTAAAATAAATTAAAACCTGCCATAATCGTAATTAATACGCAACAAATTCAAAAACCACGAAATTGATCAAAGAGTTCTGTAAATCACCCACCATGCAGAGATTGGAGAACACACCAGGAGAAATATAGAGAACACTTAACGTGCGTTAAGAACTCCCACCATGAAATCGAAAACTTATCTGCCTTAAATTTCTTTCCAATGGGAGACTTTGCATTCTTCTCCTCGTCCATATCCAACGTTCGCCCTCCAATTTCCACCACCAAACCCCACGGCGCCACCATTGACAATGTAGGTGAAGATGATATGGAAGACAACAACATTTCCAAGGAATTGCTAGGGAGCTATGAACGCTGTAAAATTTTAATCTTTATTGTAATAATTACTGAAAAAGATGATCTGCTTTGGTTTACAAACATTGATGGGTTGAAACTCAAACGTATTGATTGGCTGACTGAAAATGGAGGAAAATCTCAACCGTTCACTCGTGGGATGGGAGAATGGATATGAAAGTTTAAATGGGATTGAAATGACAGCTATTTGGATTTACTTGTTTTTTGGGAAAATGATGGGAGGCTAGGATTTGAATTTGGAACCATAAGCATAAATTTAGTTTAAACTTAAGACTATTAATTATTGCATATTCTTTGATTTCCCAGCTGAATTGTGATGTTATCACTTTTGTCATATTTAATAATATATGGTGCAAGAGAACTTAGAGTGGAACTAATGGGATAAGGTTGCACTGGTTATTAGGCTACACTTTGTTGCTTTCTAGTTGTGACTATCATAGCTATAAATAAAGTTGCACTGATTATAAATTTGATTATCATGTGTTCCCCTTTTATTCTACAAACCGCATATATGCCTAATGAAGGTGGAGAGTGGTGGTGGTGGTGGTGGTGGTTGAGGTGGAGGAGCAGTTGAATTTGCATAAAATGATATATTTTATAGTTTTGAATGATATTTTGTAACTTTTTTGAATTTACATCACTTTTTTGGGTGACAAACATCATCTTTTTAATAAAAATGACGTTGTATACACTTAATTTTATACAATATTTTTACTTTCAAAAAACTTTTTATATGATTAATGGGTCGACTGAGTTGATGGATGACGGTAATAATGACTTAACTTAAAGAGCTTGACGTTTTGATTTATGTTTCGTCAGCAAACTAACTTAAAGATGTTTGGTGGTGAACAGAGAAAAAGGAGAGACTGTGATTGTTATTTTTTAATTTTTTAAGTTTTGCCACTTTATTAAATTGATTCTAATGTTTTAATTGATGTTTTGCCACTTTTTTTTTTAATTTATATCACTTTTTTAGTATTTGTTACTTTTTTTGTCAATTCTTTAAAATCTTTATCATTTTTTTGAGTGACAAACTTCATTTTTTTAAAAACAAAAGTGACATTGTGTGTCTTTTTTAATAAAAAAAGCCACACTTAACTTTAAAAAGTTACATTGTTTCATTTTTTTAATGTCACTTTTTTTTTTATTGTGTCATTTTTTCAATTAAAAAAGCGACAATTAATTTTACACAGTATTTTTTACTTCTAAAATATTTTTCATATGATTTTTCAAAGGACCCTTAATTTTAAGGTATTTTTGTAAGTTGCCCTCAATAAATATGGGGCAAAACTATGGCAACGGTTCTATTCGACCAAAACCATAACCGCACCACCAAATTTTTTGTCATATCATAACCATACCATAACCACGTAAGTCAGTTCGATTCGGCTCGTTCGTATCTTGCTTCTGTTCGGTTCGGTTCGGTTAATAACCACGAAAATAAATTATTTTTTATAAGTCCAAACTCCAACCGTCAAATTGAAAAAAAAAATTATGAAGAAAAGTCAATAAAAACAAAAAAACAATACTAAGTCATTTAGCAAACAATATTACAAATGAAAATGCAAACAATATCCCAACTTCCAAATTCAAAATTCGAATTTAATAAACAATATTATCAACATAGGTCAAGACTCTTACTAGCATAAGTCAATTTTCATTCTTCCACACAATTCTTACTAGCATAGGTTAAGGGACAAGACTAAAAGTTGATTCTAATATAGTAATAAGAAATGTAATTAGAGTAATAATACAACCATACTACCTAATAAAAATGTCTTAATTGAAGATTTAAACAAAAAATGTACATTCTCGTCAATTGTCGAAATTGTCCAATTAATTTTGGGAAAGAATAATGGAAAGCCCAGTTGCCCAATTAATTTTATTTTTAACAGGTAATCGTTTCGAGGCGGGGCACTGTCGCTAAATACCATACCCGCCACACCCCGAACCGGGTCATTAAAATCAAAACAATAACCACCTCATTGCACCCTCGGTTCAATTTTTTTCGTCCCATTCTGTTCGGTTAACTGCAATTTTCGATTTTAACAGTTCAAATTATCATTCCTAGGTTAAAGCCCATCTCAACTTTGGGCTGTCAACAAGGGCTTCAAGGTAAGCCCAAGCCGATATCTTTTGTCGCCTGTCGAAAGGATTAGGTGGGTCTTCAGGCTCATCACTACTACTGAATTGAGCGTTTGGATCCACTTGTATAGAAATTTGCAGAAATAGTCCCCGATTTATTTATTTATTGATCAATCCGTCTCCATTCTCTCTCTTTTTTTTTTTTTTGGCAGCATCGCCCTCAAACGCTATGACTTTTTGACAGTAAAATTAAACATATCAATATTTTGAAAGTGGTCCAAGTATTGAACCAAAAGAAAAAAAAAAAAGTGTCTAACGGTCAAATGTTGAATAGAGATCCGCCCAATTAATGAAAATAATAAGAGGAAATTACAGGCAGCCAGGTATTTAAAATACCATTTTCACAAATCAGCTTTCCATTTTAACATTTCAAAAATCAGGTTTTTTATATTTCATTTAATATTAATTATATAATTTTCATCCCAATTAAAATAAAATAACTTAACCCTAGAATTCATTCCAAACTCTCCCGCCTCTCCCCTCAGTCCCATTCTCTCCCCGTTTCTCTCTGCAATCTGCCGCCGCCGACGACGCAACAGTCCACCACCGTCGACGCCGACACTCCATCTCTCGTCTTCACTCTTCTCTAGTCTCTTTCTTCTGGACTCCACCGCCGACGCTGTAGTCCGTTTATCTCTGTCGCTTCTTTTTTTTTTCTTTTTTCTTTTATTTTGTGTGGCTCGGTGGTTGCGGTGTTGGGATGTAGCGGTGGCTAGGGGTGTTCGTGCTGGGGTGCGGCAGATTTTGCGGTTGGGTGTGTAAGAGGAGCATATCTGTTTTTAGTGGAGGTGCCGCGATTTTTGCTGTGTTGCTGTATTTGTGGTTGCGGTGTGAAGGTTGTGTGTGCGTGCGTCGTGCGGTGGTGGTGATTGAGTTTTTTGGGCTGTGTTTTCAGTTGTGGATGGGGACTATGGGTGGTGGTGGTGTTTGGGTAGCGGCGGTTATGTTAGATTTGGTGATGGACGGCGCAGTGAAGGTGGTGGTGGGACGGTTTGGTGTAGTGGTGGAGGTGGTTAGATGTCATGTGCGTGAGGCGACGGTACGATTCTGGTGTGCTGTGGCGGTGGTGGTTTTGGAGGTGGTGGTCACAAATGATTCGAGGGTGGTCACAAATGATTAGGTTGTTTGTGACCAAGAATTTAGTTAGTTTGTGACCAGTAAATAATATGTGACCAATGAATTAGATAAACGGTGACCCATAAATGCTTTGTGATCTAGAAATTTGTAATTTGTGACCTGTGATTTGATAAATTGTGATCTAAAATATAACATATGTTCAATTAATGGGATGTTTGTGACT